CGCACGCTCTACGGCTTCGGCGGCTAGAAGCCATATGGGACCCCTTCATTCAGCTCAAAGGCCCTTTTCAGGGCCCCCAAGTTTTCAAAAAAAGAGCTGACATCACTACAGGTGGCAGGTCCCGTGGAATACGAACACCTACATCAGCTTAACGTGAACCTTTTTTAGCTGCGGAGTTGGGATTGTGTTAAGGCAGAGCTGTAAGCCTCCACAGGCGTGAAAAACTCTAACTTTCCCTGATTAAACAAATGCCTAAATATTGAAAGGCATTATGAGAGAAAAAGTAGACAAATCATGCCTAAGATAATAATTCTAAGTACCCCAATTTGTGTTGCGCATTACATGGATTAGCTTATGTAGTATTGAGATATTTTCAATAACGAAGTCTGAAAGAATATTCTCTGAATTCTGTAACTTGAACCTGTAATTTTCTTAGCCACTTTGAGTATTTAGGCCAGTATAGACTGAGCCCCAGTTTCATTTCGTTAATACCGTCTTCTGTAATAGATCAGGTTGTAATCCTGAGTCACTGTCTCACTCGGGCCCTCACACAGATCTCATTTCTTCAGAATCATACAGTATAGCACTTAACAGCTGAAGATTGCCACTGTTTACCGTAAAAAAAAGGAAAACTTGCTCAGATTATTTAACTTGCTTCTCAACTGTCAGTCACATGCCAACTAGTGTACCCTGGTTTTCCCATTATGCCATCTGTCACTTATTTCCCCTAAAGTATCCCCACTTAGGAAGATAAGGATTTAAACTTCAAACCTGGGAGGGGAAATGCTGTTACTTTCATCTCTCTTGCAAAGTATTATTGCAATCAAGTGCAGCTTAAATATCAAGCCTGGGAGTGTTCTGACCGCAAATAGCCTGGAAAAGCCACAACTTTTGTGACTGTCTCAGACATAACTCACTTCACACAGGAAAAGCCCATCACTTTGGCAACACTGCCAGTCACACGCACACCACGCCGCACTTTCACATTCCTAACCTTAAAACTCCATGCTTAACAAAGGGACACCCCCTAATATAACCCCGTTTCACTTGGGAAATAAAATACAGGTACATACAACGGTTGCAAAGAATTAGTTGAAGCGAATTGTGACTACAGCTCTAATGTTGACAGTTTTGTGGCTCTGAAAAGAGCCTTTGGGTTAGGTTGTGAAGCCGCTTACTTGGCGAATTTACTTGGCGCTGGTGTACTTGGTGACAGCCTTGGTGCCCTCGGACACGGCGTGCTTGGCCAGCTCGCCGGGCAGCAGCAGGCGCACGGCCGTCTGGATCTCCCGCGACGTGATGGTCGAGCGCTTGTTGTAGTGCGCCAGGCGCGACGCCTCGCCCGCGATGCGCTCGAAGATGTCGTTGACGAACGAGTTCATGATGCCCAT